TTCGCATGATTTCTTGACATTCAGATTCAGTGCCTGACTTAGTGTTATCAACACAAAACACGTCAAACAACTGGGCACCATATGGCTTGGTTTTTAAATAACCAAATATTTCTCTGGCTAGTGCAGAAGAATTACGGTTACAATATGGTTTGTCAGCATGAGTGCACACCAGGAAAACAGCCGGAAGCTTCTTTGGAAGCACCTCCATTTCGGGGCTCACATACGGAGGATTATTCGGTTCCACCAAGGAAGCCAAGGAACTCATCCAAAACACTAGGTAATCCATATTCGTTTTTAAATTACTTTTATCTTCAATTTCTCTATAAACTCCTTGCCTCACCAGAGGTATGGCTTTGTCGCTTGGATTTCTGCTTAAGTCATAGACCAAAAAGTAGATTGCCCTTCTTGTAAGAAAGATTGGGTGTGTCACGTAGTAAACAGACTGTCCAGCAAAGTCCCACATAATTGAGTGAATATCTTCTCTATCGTCTTCCAAATCATCTTGAAGGATCTGTTGAATTAACTTGGCAATGTCTTCAAATTCCGGCACCTTTCTTGAGGTGCGGTTGATTATATCTTCCCCGTACTTTGTTGGAGTTAAATCATGTTCTTCTTTATTTGTTAAAGGAGGTTCACCGTGCGAAGGATGAGCGTATGCTGGATTTCTAGGTGATTCCGATGGGTCCGTGTAACTTGTTGTCTCACTGGGGTATCTTCCCTCTAAGGTGTCAGTTTCTTCAAAGTCATCATAATGTTCTGACTTGGTAATACCTGTTCCTGTGACATCAGCAACGTTTTCTTCCGCCATCAATTTATCTGCAATCCACCGAGCTGCGTTATGCTCAAACGAAATTAAGTTCTCATCGACTATTTCGTCTTGATCCTTTTTTCCTGTCATCCATATTTCGGTGGTAACTTTGAAATGGTAGTTATCGACATCGATGCCCACGGTGCTATCCTCATCTGGGTTGAAACAAATCCCTTTCAAGGACTTCTTCAGGCTAGTCTTTCCTGACCGATCCTGTCCAACAAACATCAACGGCACTCTCTTTACACAAGTTTGACCCTCTGCCAAGGCATTGTTGTAGGCTTCTAAAGCTAGAGGACCACGAGCACGAATCTCTGGAGGAACTGTAAATGTGACAATCGAGAAATGCACATCAGTAAGTCTCCATAATCAAGGTAGAATTAAAAGTGAAAAAAAACCCCGTTCAATTATAACCAAACAACAGGAGCCACTATCGCTATATTCTGAGTCAATTCAGTTCAATATGTTTTAATTAAAGTGTCTATACGGCNAAAGCTACAGATGGGTTATGATATCTGCTACTTACACCACCTTTGCGCTACCTTTCATGGAATGGTCGGCGCTTGTGCAATGAAGCAATTTTTTAACTACATCTACAAGGAATGCCAGATATAAAAGTAGACAATATAAGATTACAAATCAAATCTTAGAGGCAGAAAACTTCCTTTAAAATATACACGAGTCGGTTATTCACAATTTTCTTTTTTCTTGCTCTGGGGGAGTTTTTCTTTTTTGTTTTTTGGTGAACCAGCAACTATCTCAAATTTAACAAACATTTGGCGGATTGGTTGGCGGATTATATTTTCCATTTAATTTACTTCAGTTTTCAGGCCATCAAATGATATTTTGTGACAACCACATATCACATAAGTCGAAAAATAACAGGTAGTACATGACCAATGATATTGATCGATGGATAAGAGTAAAACCTGTTTGACAACCGACACCACAGGTGTCCTCGGTAGAGTCGCGCGTAATCATGAAAGCCTTAAATTTCGTTCTTTTGCATGCAACTAAATACATATCACTAGCTACTTAATATTCTATTTCTTGGAGCTTCTATCTTCTTTGGATGCATCTAGTTTTAACAATTCATCCCGCGAGAGTATAAATACTTAACGAACACAACTAAACACCTATTACTTAGCCATACGCTCCGTTTGATCATAGCTCGTGAATTAAAACCTTGAACAAATAGAATGCACGAGGAAAAATTGGTTCCTACTACAACAAATCCGCGAGTGCAGGAAACTCACATTCGACCAACAGGTCGTAGAGTTGTCCCACATTTAATTTACAGTGCTGTAAAATAAGATCAACAGGGTTTTTAAAACGCTGGTCAAAACAACGAATGTATGCATCTTCGAAACCCAGTTTGTCAGCAACAATCTTCCATTCATCGCCTCCTGAAAAGTCAGAAACATGGAATTTAGAAGAGTTGTACTCATATGTAAAAGAGAAGCAAAGTTTTCGCCTTACAATTCTAAATGTGTTGTTAAAACTAAAAAATATTCTTATTCATACATTAAGTACCTTATTTATAGACTTTTAGTATAACCAACCTATAACGGACACACTACTAAAAACTCTTCAGGGGAGGGGAGGAGTGATTAAGGTAAAAATTTCAAGCAAACTGAGAAATGAGCCAAAACCTGCGCATTACCAAATTCCCCATTCTCCGTACAAAGAAAATCTTCCTTCTTGAAAAACAAAGGAAAATACGAACCCCCATTAAAAGCCATGCAACTTTACACTTTTTACGGGCTTTGAAACCGACATTCAATGTAGATGGTAATAAGTTTAGGACCGAATTTCATGCCAACGGGACAGTAGAGGGGACGTTTAACGAGTTAGCCCTTACCACCAAAATCAGTTACAGAGATACACCAATCTAAGAGAAACTCATCGAAAAAAGGAACTCCAATTGAATATCAATGATTACGGGGCATCATGAATTCAACAAGAAAAACTAAACCCCGAATTTGGTGGGTTTCTATGTTCTCTTTAATTGGCAATTTTAAGAAGCTGAAAAACAACCTAATCGATTTTGACGAATTGATTTGCAAAATAAAAGCAACAAAACAGCTCTCTAACTCACCACACAAACGAACGGCTAGATCAGTTCTCCGTTTAATTGGAATTTTCAGAACGCTAAGACTTTCTTCAAGAAAAGGGCCTAAAAGTAAAAAAGCACTGTAGCGTCTTCTACATTCAGTCAATTTTTACACTTTAATTAGAAACTGTGTATAAAATTGAGGCTGTCGAAATAGAAAAAATGTTTCAAACATCCCATTTAAAATTTTATATGGCATTTTTTGGATGTTTGACAGACCTCAGTTTGAATGATTAATTAAGACTGACCTAAAATTATGTTTTAACCGTAATGAAAAGGAAAGGAAAGTAGTTTAGTTTTTAGTTTAGTCAGCTGCTTCTTTTTAATTTTCAATTTTTCAACCTACTCATTAACGACAGAAGTGAACAAGGGAGGGCACCGATAAATGGCCAATAGATCAGAGATCGCCCTCACCAAGAAGAGGTTCATGCTACAGTGTGAGATGCAGTGTACCAGTGGTAGTGGTAGTACTAATCCGGATCAATTGGTCCAGGCTCGAGCCTCGGTCGGATTGTTGTGTCCTTGAGAAGGAAAATTTTCTCCCAACAAGACTCTCTCCCTCCCTGATACTAAGGCAGTATTGACATTAGTTTTAACTCTTACCTGTTGTACCCGCTGGTGCAATTTCTCTCAAGAAATTAACCACATCAGTTCTATCAAAATCCTTAGCAGCCCTCATAAGACAACGGATCCATTTCCTATCCTCTGGTGCTGGAGCTCTCAGCGATGAAATATCGAGCAGTTTACAGACAACATCTTTTGGAGGGACTGATTCGCGCCGGAGAGACTCGGAAACATCGCAAGGTAAGACAAGAGATTTTTCTCCATACCCTAAAATGTGCGAAAAAGAAAAGAAAAAATTGCTTACTTCTAATTACTCATCATTCTTCAAGGGAGACATGTTATGTACTTCTTTTGATGACAAAAGGCCATGTTAACAACGCACCAGAAAATATTCGAAGACATAAAGAAATTTGATATTCTTAAACTCTCGGTAAACATGTAGTTGCCAGTAGTTTCTAGAATGAAGGTTACAAACAAATTACATTAAGAGAGGAAAAACCAATTACAACGATGAAATAACATAGGAAACGCGGATAACACAGGATCAAATATGAAACAAGCGAAGATAGGAGACATTACCTGACGATCTGGGAATACTGCTTAGAGAACTCACGTTGGTCTACCTTGAACGAGGTCCTTGCAAATTTTATAAACCGCGCGAATGTGCAGCTATTTATACCATTAACGCTGGGACTGGGGCGAGGTGGGGGATTGGTTTCTACAGGCCAGAAAGAATACTCTTCTGCAGTCAATAACAAATGGAGAGAAAGAGTATTCCGCTTCATGCAAAAAAAACTTGAAAAAAAACATCATAATAGGTAATTTAGGACCTCTATGTAAACCACTATTGTGATGGAACGTCCTAATAAAAGATTGTTATTATTATTATTACAGGCAACTGACCCTCTGAAACGAGAACAACTGTCCCTTTGCTCTCATTAACAGCATCTTGGAGTTGGTTAAATTCTCCTTTGAATTGTTCAGCTACGAGGTGCTGGACTTCACAATATCCTGGGTTTCCAGCTAGGTTAGAAAATGATGAATTCAAGCCCTTTTTAAGTAAACAGAAATGATAAAACACGAAAAATAATCTATAGAAATGAGCTAATTTATAACAAGATCAAAGGAAGAAACAAACCTTGTGCAAAAGGAACCAGGAACATGTCACTTTCACTACCTATTCTTGGTCCTTGTGCTTGAATAGATGTTACAGCTTCACCGGGTAACACAGGGGATTTCTCCTGACATCGATCTGAGATCCCCACTACAAAGGAAAAAAATTATTTGAAACAAAGGAATCGTTTATAGCAAGTTTAATATATCAAACTACAGATTGATCACGAAAGGAAACTTCTCTTATCACAAGTACAGATCGACCGACACGAAATGTGTAGTTGAGGGATCAAAGTGATGGCTAACCTTTCCAAAGACGGTGTCCACCACCACGTTGATGACTCGCCATCTCCTGTTGATAAAGTCAAGTAGCCAATATGAATTTCGGCTTTTATGGACAAATTAAGGGAAATGAGAAGGAACGAATTAAAACGAATGATTACCCAATCAGTTAATCGCGTATCTGAGAGGAAATGAAATCCATTATTTCCCTTAGGACTATTCGTCATCAAGCCTTAAACGCAATTTCTTCAATGGTAGTCCGACGGAAAGTAGGGGGTTGAAATCTTACTTTGTAAAAATGGCAGCTTTGATGTGTCCTAACACCAAATCAACTGGCAAATACCCTTAGCGCGTAAGACAAAAAAAACTTCGAGAAACACTTTGAATTATTAAAAAAACATTACACATCTCGATCACATTGCGTTCATACATAGAATCTGCCAATACTTGCTTTTTAACCGTTTAACCTATGTAGTCACTATGTAAAACTATCGATCATGGTAATACTTAGGAGGACGTTTGCGCATCTCTTGGTGGCAATCTAATTTATGAAATATACATTTTTGCAATAAAGAACGCTGTTATCACATACTAATCACGTGAAAATACATCTATCTGTTTTTTCGGAAAATGTTACGGCCGCACTACTAGATACGATTAGCCACTTCTTTGCTCGTGCTCAGATTGTTGAGAATTTGGCAACGAATGAAAGTAGCAGTCATGCTGTCCACGCATACTTGCTAATCGGGTGTGGTTACTGCAGTGAATGCCGGGATATGTAAAGACGACTATGGGATAACCAAGGAGGAGAGTACGTGAGTCGAGGAGTTTAGGATGACGATGCCTTAGGCTTGTTCGGTTGTTGTAATTCGGTTCAACCCCTAGCTTGAATGTGTATATTTAGACTCTACAATTGGCGATAATGATAGATAGACAAGGAAATTTTCCGACAGATGCAGAGAAAATATGGCCGTGAACATCAAATTTGGAGACATAAACCCTTTCGATCGTACAGGCAATCCGACTAGCGTGGGACCTCGTCGGAGACGATGGAAACGTTCTTTTGAGTTTTTTTCTCGAGGCCACGGGTATCAAAAAAGATGCACAAAACCAAGCCTTACTTTTTTCATTACGCTGGACAGGATGTACAGGACATTTTTGTTACGTTGAGTGACCCTGGACTAGCCCAGAAGGAGAAACGCATTGTGCGAAAGCTGAGACTACTAGACGCACATTTTTAACCCCAATTTATCATTCCATTTGAACGACATCAGTTTCGTCAAGCAAAACAGGAAGAGTCTGAGACAGCAGACCAGTTTGTGACCACGTTGTTCCAGCTCAGCGAGAACTGCAACTTCGGAACATCCGAGGAAGAACAAATCCGCGATCAGTAATTGATAGGTGTGGGTCAAAATATCTTCGCCGGAATCTACTTTCTGTTAGTGATAAACTCACACTTCAGAACGCTAGAGATATTGCTAGATCCATGGAAGCTGCTGAAAGTCAGGCACGGTCGATTGAAAGCGATTCACGGAGCGGAAATGTGAATTCCTTAGAGCGAGGACATTTTGACTTGCCTAAACATGGAGGAGGACGTTGTTATTGGTGTGGGCTTGAGAGACATTTTCCAAAAGATCCGGGGTGCAAGGCAAGACTGGCGCTACTCGTATGAAATGTGAAAAAAATGGGGCATTTTGCCAAAGTTTGCAAACGAAGGAAGAAGATACTAATAGACCGAGGAAAGAAAAACTACGCCAAGTCACCAACGATGACGATTTCGCCTTCACCCTACAGACTAGTGGAAGAAATATTCCCACCGTAGACATTGAGCGCGGAGGTGTTCGAGTGGAAGGGGTCTTGTTGATTTCAATTCCACTTGCAATGTTCTTGACAGAGAAACATTGGAGACGCTTAAGGAGAAGAAAGTGAAATGCGTTTCAAGAAAATCTAACAGAAAGCTGTACTCCTTTGGATCCAATGAGCCACTTCCTGCTGCTGGTGAGTTTGAAACTGAACTTTGTTCCAAAGATAAACGTTGCCATGTGTGTTTTAATGTCGTGGAGGAGAAAGCAAGGGCGATACTTAGCAGGGGGACCTCAGAAGAGCTGGCAATACTAAAACTTGAAATTAATGCCATGAAAGAAGAAACCCTGGTTAGACTTTCCTGAGTGTTTTAAGGGAGTACAAAAACTTAAGGGTTTCCAAGCAAAGCTCCCCGTTGAAACATCAGTTAAATCTGTTACAAAGAAGCTGTGACCCCACCTTATGGGCTAAGGGACAAAATAGAACAGAAACTCGAGGAACTAGTGAACTGTGTTGAACCAGTTGAAGGTCCTACTCCATGAGTGAGCCCGGTCGTGGTGGTTCCCAAACCCTCGGGGGACATCAGACTCTGCGTAGACATGAGAAAACGTAGTGAGGCTATCGTAAGGGAACGTCATCCCATACCCACGGTTGATGACATATTCTACTAACTTAATGGAAGCAATGTGTTCAGCAAATTGGACCTCAAATGGAGATTTCACCAGATTGAGTTGGAGCAACAGTCTATAGTTATTGCCACATTCATTACTCACAAGGGGTTGTACAAGTATAAACGCTTGTTGTTCGGAATCAGCTCTGCCTCAGAGCTTTATCACCACACCATTCAACGAGTGGTGGCCGGGTGTGAGGGTGCCTACAGCATAAACGATGACATAATTATCCATGGTCGTACGGTTGAGGAACATGACAACAGATTGCAGACCATTGAGTGTATTCGTGACAAAGGACTTACCCTCAATCCGGAAAAGTGCGTATTTAGGATGCCACAACTCACTTTCATGGGATATCTGCTATCAAAGAAAGATATTGGCCCAACAGAATCACAATTTGAAGCAGTAGTCCGGGCTAAGGAACCCACAAATGCAGAAGAGATGCAGAGTTTCCTCGGATCGATGAACTTTAGCGCCCAGTTCATTCCTGATTTAGCAAGTATCGTAGAGCCATTCAGAGAATTGACAAGGAAGGATGTACCGTTCAAATGGGGCACAGAACAAGAAGCGGCATTTGACTCCCTGAAGAGTTACTTGGGACGTGCAGAAACACTGGCATATTTCTACAGAAATGCAGAAGTAACCAAGCTCATTACAGATGCAAGCCCGGTAGGCCTCGAGGCGGTGCTTACCAGGTCCAGGAGGGACAGGGGCGTGTAATTGCGTATGCAAGTCGCGCCTTAAATGGAGTTGAACGCAGATACCCACAAACAGAAAGAGAGACACTGGGACTTGTGTGGGGATGCGAGAGGTTTCACATGTACCTGTCCGGAATGTAGTCTACGCTGCCAACAGACCACAAGCCTCTAGAAACTATTTACTCGAGTAGTTCCCGTAATTCAGCTCGGATTGAGCGCTGCGTACTTCGACTTCAACCATACAAGTTTCAGGTACAGTATATACCTGGTAAACAGAACACTACTGACTCTCTATCACGACTTGTTGATAAGGGAGGGTTGAGTGGTCATGATGACGCTGAGGGATTTATTCGTTTTGTGGCAGAAACATCAGCACCAGGAGCGATACCTATCAGAGAAATTGTGGGAGAATCAGCTACCGACCCAGAAAATTTCACAACTACGAGAGTACATCTCAGCAGGAGACTGGGACAAAGCCCCGCCACAGTATAAACACGTCAGAAATGAACTCTTTAGGGAATTTAGTATTGAGGGGAAGGAGGTTGCTAATGCCAAGAAGACTACGCGAAAGAGTACCAGACTTTGCACACGGGGGTCATCAGGAGCTGGTAAAAGACAAACAGAGACTTCGTACAAAGGTTTGGTGGGCTGGAATTGACAAGCAAGTGGAAAGCCGATGTGAGACCTGCCATGGCTACCAACTTGTTGGACTGCCTACATCGCCAGAGCCTTTACGGCTTACAGAGTTTCCAAGTCAACCCTGGATTGCCCTAATCGCAGACTTGATGGAATCCCTACCGTCAGTGGAATATGTACCTGCCGTGGTTGTTTATTATTCTGTACCCGTGGGTTACCGCAGTCGTTGAAAGCTGACAACGGTACACGGTTTGTGCCCGATGAATTTTAGCGTTTCCTGAAAACGAATGATAGAGAGCATCGCACCTCGACCCCGCTCTGGCGTCAGGCAAATGGGGAGGTTGAAAGACGGAACAGAAGCTTGCTTAAAGCCCTTAGGATTGCTAAAGCTGAAAAGAAGAATATCTGATACGAGACGCGAGATTTCTTAACAGCCTATAGAACGACACCTCACAGCAGCACAGGAGTCTCGGTTAGCTCAATTGGTAGAGCGCCCGACTTTTGTGCGGGAGGTCGTGAGTTCAAATCCAGCCGGACCAACACTCAGGGTCTTTAATTAACTGAGAAGAAAGTGCTGCCTTTGTAATAATATCTGCAAATTGTTAGACTTTCTAGTCTTCTCGGATAGGGACAATAAATGGAGGTCCCGTCTCCTGCAGGGTTGGGGTAGGAGACGTTAATTTCCCTCACACGAGATTACTGTGTGATGGATGTCCTCCCTGGGGTGGGATGGGTGGGTAAAAAAGGGGTTAGGTTTCAATTGGAATGAAAGTTCTGTTCCTTTCTCCTGCCATTCCTGTGGCGAATGAATTAACCTTAAACTTAAACTTAAACTTAAAGGAGTCAAGCCGGCCAAACCCTCCTTCAACAGGAACATCAGATCAAAGATTCCTGAACTGGGAAACTCGAGGTACTCCGAAAGTGAGGCGAGAGACAAGGATGGAGAGATGAAGCAGCAGAGAACCGACTATGCTGACGAAAAAAGGAGAGCTCGAGAGAGTGAACAAGAACCTTGTGATTTAGTGCTCTTAAAACAGAGGAAAGAGAACAAGCTCTAAACTACTTATGGTGCAGTTCCATGTACCGTTAGCAAGAAGCACGGTAACGGCGCACTTCCATATGCCGTTAGCAAGAAGCACAATAACGAGGTCGTATTGTCACCCGAAGGATTGGACGTCAGGAGAAATGTTACCGATGTTAAGAAGTACTTTGCCAGCTCAAAAAGACACCTTATTGAACATTTTAATTAAGTTTCGTGTTAGCAGCGTATTAACGCTCTCAGAGTGATTCTTCACTGAACACTTTAATCCGACTCGTGTTAGAAGCGTATGGACCTGTTCATGTTCTGTTTCGTTATGTTAAGGCCTTGCTCTTAGGGGAAGAGGGGTTGCAGTGTATGCGGGGATACCTAAAAACCATTATTGGGTAGCCAAGGAGGAGGGTACGTGAGTCGAGGAGTTTAGAATGGCGATGCCTTTTTCATTTGTTGTAATCCGGTTCAATCCGTAGCTTGAATGCGTATATTTAGACTCTACAGTTACTAATTCATAGCAGGAGATAAACATCTTTTCTTACCTTTTCCTCACCAGAAGAAATCCATGGAGCAAACTGCCCGGCCTGAATCCTGTTATCCACAGCGGTTACATAATTGGTGCATACGGTCTGCATTTCATCCCCTAAATCTGACTCTGAAATGAAGTGAAGGCATTCCTCTTGCTCACAATTTTCCTCGTGATGTTGTGTGCAGAAGCTGACCACGCGTCCATGGGAACAAACAGGACAAAGGAAACTCACTTCGCATCCAACGTTCTTCACCCAGAAGAATTTTTGCCATACCCGATCAATAATCGAGGTTAGCTGGTTGCGAAAAGCTCGAATTGAGGCCAAATCAACCAGACCAGTGGCACTTTTTACACTGAGGACAATGACCTCAATTGTGGAAGAGTGGCAAAGGAGAACCACGGAGAGGCCTTGTTTTGGAAAGATGGAAAATCTAGCAAAATTGTGAAAAGTTTTGGGCATATCTACGCCGGGAAATTCTTTTCTACACCACTGCAAAAATTCCAGCACAAATCGAGGAAACAGGCCAGGTGGGACCCGACCTGTGTCGAATTTGAGAAAAAGAGAGGGGATTTGCGCAGAGTCAACTAGATTACGAATCTGCTTTGGTGGAAGCGTTTGCAACATAGATGGCACCAAGAAATGTTTGTTGCTCGAGTCATCTGATGATGGCCAAGGACACATCAAGCTGAATTTTTCCATAATTGCGATAAGACTTTTATGGGTTTTTTTCTGAGGAATCAAAGAGCTCCAAACATTTTTGAGAAGTTTCTCTTCCAGTATTCCCTTTTCCTGGAGTTTTTCCCACAGATGTGCAAATTCTTTGTCTTCGCGATGGAACCTGACAGTTATTACACTCTTGAACACGTCAATCAACCACTGAATATCCAAGAAAACTACCTCTCTCAATTCTGGAGAATCGTCAAAGTGAATCAAAACTCGCAGATCGTGCAAAAAGTTTAGCAGTGTCTGTACCTCGTTGTCGTTCATGTCACAAACTTTGGAAGCGATACCTTTTGCCGTAGAGAGGGAGACAAACTTGTGATCATCTTCCTTTAGGACGCGAAGGACATTTTCGTATCTTAACCACTTAATCGGAATAACCTCGTTTACGTGTGGTAACTCTTTAGAAACGACATGTACGTCCTCTCGTAAGCGCATGATTTCTTTACATTCGAATTCAGTGCCTGACTTGGTGTTATCAACACAAAACACGTCAAACAAGTGGGCACCATATGGCTTTCTTTTCAAATCGCCAAATATTTTACTGGCAAGTTTAAATGGGTCACGATCGCAATAGGGCTGATCAGCATGTGTGCACACAAGGAAGACGGCTGGAAATTTCTTCAAAGGCACCCCTGTTTCGGGGTCCACTTGTCGACAATCACTCTGTTCCACTAAGGAAGCCAAAGAACTCATCCAAAAGTCTAAATAATCAAAGTTCGTTTTCAGATTATATTTATCTTCAATCTCTCCATAAACTCCCTGCTTCACCAACGGTGTGGCTTTTTCACTTGGATTTCTACTCAAGTCATAGACCAAAAAGTAGATTGCTCTTCTTGTGAGAAATAGGGGGTGCGTTACGTAATACACTGACTGTCCAGCGAAGTCCCACATTATTGAAAAGATGTCTTCTCTATCGTCTTCCCAGTTGTCTTGAAGGAGCTGGGGAAGTATCTGCGCAACTTCGTCGAAATCCGGCAACTTTTCCAGTGTGGTGGTAAGAAAGTCTACTTCTAGTTCTAATTCTGTAGGATTTCGTACTTCTTCCTTCACTAAATGAGGTTCATCGTCGGTGGTATTGGTTGATACCGGATTGCTGGATGATTCTGAAGGGTCTGATGAGCTTGGAGTCTCACTAGACACGCTTTCCTCTGGGGTATCAATAACTTCAATATCATAGCCAGTTGACTCAGCTGAGCTTGCTCTTATGACTTCAGCAACTTTTTCGTGCGTAGTCAATTTCTTCGCAATCCACCGTGCTGTCTTATGCTTAAATGAGATAACTTCAGTATCAAAGTTGGCTTCCTGGTCATTTTTTCCTGCCTTCCATATTTCGGTGGTTACTTTAAAATTATAATGATCGACGTCAATTCCCCGGGTGCTATCCTCTTCTGGGTTGAAACAAATCCCTTTCAAGGACTTCTTTACGCTGGTTTTTCCAGATCGATCCTGTCCAACTATCATTAAAGGCACTATTTTGACACAAGCTTGACCATCAGCTAGGGCGTTCAAGTAGGTTGCCAAAGCTAGAGGACCTCGAGCACGAATGGCTGGAGGAACTGAAACCAAAGAAAATAATACTTTTAATTTGCAAATTAAATGTGACAACAACAATGAAAGTTTCGTTTTGCTTCCAAACAGCGATGTTCAAAATTTCCTAGAAGAAGAAAGGAACCAAATAAAAAAAGAAACAGACGAAAGGCACTTGGCTTTAATTGTGGCATTTTTCGCCTTTGAGAACGAAAATTGACTACTGAAAGGTTTGCCGCTGGCCAATTTTGTCCGTGAATCTTACCATACTTTTACTGTCGGTAAGGAAAAAGTTGAATTTTGCGTACCCTCTCCCGGCAGCCCCTGTATTTCAGAGGTGTAATTACACCTATGACTTCCGCTGGCTCGAAAAAATATTGCGTTACTTCCGATTTCCTCCAAAAATAGTGTATGACGTTGAAATATTAAACAAATCACGTACCAAGTTTGGGGGTAGACGTTTGAATGTAACGTACACAAATCTCATTTCAAATTTCAAGTTACACCCGTGAAGAGGGCATTGTCCTCCGAGCGAGCGATTGTGAGTAATATCTCCGCCGAGACGATACTGGAAGAGCTATTTGATGATAAAAACTTCGCTGGTGGGATGGAAAGTGGATAAGAAAGCGATTTGGACTTCATTGGGGAAGTTCATTCCCTTTTGTTAGGTCTTCCTTTTGCAATTTAATTATATGCTTGTATGTACATATTTCTTTGCTGTAAACTGTTTAAAGTAAGTAAAGAGAAATCGAGGTAAGAAGTCGTAATCGTCATTGCGAAATCATCACCATCGACCGCGTGGTCTTGAAATTCGAAGTTGTTCGCCTCAGGCTGTCCTTTTCTGTTTGATTACTCGCGTAGCTCTTCAAATTTGATTTTAAATTGCTTTACGGGACTCCAATAAACAGTAATCTACGCCAAGAACATGTTTTGTAGCGATGACCGCGAAGGGATTCGAAGTGTAATCGATACCTCATTCGATCGGCTGTAACCATGGAATTGCAACTTTTAAATTTTTGAAATTATTTCGAATGATATGGGCGCAAATAAAAATTCGTAAAAAAAATCAATATTTATTCTTTTTATTTCAAATTTTCAGGACATATTGCTAACATGTTAATGATCAATTTGTGCTATTAAATAATCTGCCACATCCTGTGCTAATGAGGATAAGGGATTCGAAATGTTTGTAAGTACCAGTGATAAGCCCAACTTAATTATACCTACCCACCTCGACAAGTTTTTAAGTAATTGTGGGTAGGCATTTCTCAAATTGTAATTGTTGTAGATCAGTAAATTGTTGTTGTTGTTGTAGCTGACTTTACCTCGAATGTTTCACTATTATTTTGCTTATTTTGTGTTTTAAGTTTATTTTTTCAGGAAAATCCTTGGTTTCGATTATAAAATTTATATATTCCTGAGAAGTTCACATTATACACTTCAAAATGAGATATTGTAGGTGTTATTGCTGTAAATATTTGTTGAGATATTAAATGAAAACTGAAAGTCAACAATATTTGCGTTTTTCTGCCGGTCGGTTACTAAGCCGGGAGAGAGTTTAAAAGTTACGCCCAATGTTTTTCTTTTTTTTTTTGTTATGACTCAACGTAGTTTTTCATCTTCAGTCGTATCCCTCAAGCTTTACGACTTTTTCTCGCGGATTGGATTCATTAATAAGGTCAACTTTTCTTGTCAGTAAAGCCGTATTGTGTTTACATAATAAGGAAAATGATATATGATTGCGTGTAAATGTGGAATCTCTCTTCTCGTGTTCGAAAACGATATCACACTCGTTCTCTTCTCTCACTCGTTGGATACCGAGTTAAACGCGAGAAGAGAAATGCGTGTGCCCACAAGCACAATATAAAATACAAACAACGCAAACGCTCCCAGTTAAGAGAAATGACGAAAAAGTTAGAATGTACTTGGGAAAATGAGGTATTCATTTTTGACGATCCCCTCGCACATGCCTCGAGTTCCCTAGCGGTTCATCAATTTACTCGCAGGTGAAGTAACTCCCTTAGAATTGTTAAAGGTACTTCTCGTCACTTTACAATAACTGATAAGAATTCTTATAGTGCCGTAAAAATTAAAATTCTGCTGATTTTCTTAAACTTTACAAGTTTTCTTTTACATCTATAGCGTGAATTCGATTTAGACACTTAAGAACAAGATGTCATCACCTTCATATCTTAATATTTTGCCTTTTTAGTAACGCAGAGGGGGACATTTTCGCCATGTTGTACCAGACAGTACCTGCTGCTTTGGAAGGTCCCGCTACCTTCGTTTATTGAAATTAAGTGAATCTCCATGCTAGTCTATTTTCTGTTTTTAACTTGGAAAATAGATTATAGGGCCCTAAACTGAAGGTGGCTTGAACCATGCTGGAACTTATCTTTAAAAAATGTTGGAGTTTCGTTAAACTCTTCAACAAATTTACATGCCTAGAGGGCTGGCTTCTTAATGCTTTCTAAAGAAATTTTAATGGAATTCTATTTATTACCCTCCATGATCTTTCAATTCAAACTGGAGCCTATCTTGTGAAGTATTGGCTTATTTTTTTAGTTTAGACCTTAAAAAGCCTTGGAGTCTTTGGCGACTATTCTATTCAAAGAGAGTAACCATTGCTAATGGCGTAAGGAATAAACTTTTTTGAAAAACGCAAAAGATTCCAAAAAATACAAAAACTTTCCCCATCGAACTAAAATGTTTTCTACTTACCTTTTCCTTCCACACCATCACTCTTTAAGGCAGCTGCGGCGACAACAAAGCACTGAACTTCCTTGACAAACTCGAGAAACTCTGGTAGCTTTCGTACTAAACTCTCGGGTTCCCACTGCCCACAACTGAGCAGCTTGTCCCACTCCTCACAATGCAGGTGTACATCAGTCTACAAAAAAAAGTGGAAAGAAGTTATAATATAACCGGCACTCTTTCATGCCATGCACATAATAGGCTATGAAGGTTGAGATTGTCATGGGTAGAAAGCAGGAGGAACCGTTCTAGTAGTGCCGTTGCTAGCGTTTTCTGTCAAATAACAAGTTGCCTTAATAACAAAAAATGTAAGATGATGACAATAATTGTACTTGGAATCAATCCGACTTACGTTCATGCGATCGCTAGGGCAGAACTAAGGAAAAATTAATTTACAATGGCTGAGGAATTCATATCAAAAAGGTGCTTAAGTTTCACAAAGGGTGGTGGGGAGTAATTAACGATTCATTAAGACAATATAAAAATATTGCATGGTTTAAAAGTAAAATCTGCAACGTATACAGCGTCTGTGGAATAAATAACTCATGGTTAAAAGTAAAAGAACAGAGTCTCGCCACTTCAAGGATTCTTTACAGTTTCGATCTTTGATTCTGGTGGATATCCACTGTGGTAAAACGATTTATTTCAACTCCGTTTCAAAGTTGTCACAATATTTCAGGATCTGGTTTAGAAACTGTGCCGAAAATTATGGAAATCGAGGACGCTGAAAATAATTAGGCTCTAAATCAATTACGGTGCAAAATGAGGCAAAGAGTCAAAACCGATTCTCTGTATCTTCCATCTGTCGATTCAGCGCTCCATGAGGTTTCCTTCGACAGGATGACGCTGAAACCAGGTTTAGACCTGTACACGTTTCGTTTGGAAAGCCGCTTGTGGGTCAATTGAAATCCCTTAGGAATCTGATTCTCATGGAGTATTAGGCCAAACGGGTCATCATCCGCCAAAGTAAGCCAAGATAGATATTTTGCCAACACACATATGACTTCTTCCTCAGGCGCATATTCTACAGTTTTCGGCATTCCTAAAAAATACACCGAGAATGACGTTTTGAAAAGGTTGATTGATCATTCCAATTCCTAACCCCTGAATATGGACAATAATGATAAAAGTACTTGAATAAGGATAAAAGAACTCGGAAGAGAAGAGTGTGTTTATACTTCGAGCAGACTGGTAAGTATCCTACTACGTATTGATGGTGGGAAGAAAGAAGAAAGAAGAAAGAACTTCCAATTCGGCTTTTTTAAACAAGCCTTTAGGGAAAATTAACGTTCCATGAAATCGTTCGCACTTGGGAAGCTCGGATTAATTGGTATCGCGTAGAATTTTCCTGATTCAAAATGGAATCAAGCCCTGCAAGATATTGTCGGAGGATTCATAAAAGGTCAGTTGCAAACATGCTAACTTTGTGTGGATCTTGGCCTCTTTTTGTTTTTGGGAGAAGGGGGGTGGGAGAGGGGGGATTCTCTATCAATGATAGCCCTCTCTACTTTGAATACAAACTATCAATTTATTCCAATTACGCTACGAAGATTCATCTACCTGCATGTTCATTGATTATGAATCTGCAATCAAACTCGCACCCGGGAAACAAAATGTCGGTTTGCAAATATCTTCGCGATGGGAGAACTACCCAGCCTCGACTTCGCGACCGAGTATATTCGTCGGTAAAGAAAATCTCCTTAAGGATGCTCCTGACGTCAGTGTATGGGGCTTCTGGCTTTTCCTCAGCATCCTTTTTCGTTACCCAGACCTAAATGGTATATATGAGAAGCTTTAGAAAAATAACCATTGAAACTGATTAGGTATTCTTGGAGTTCCTAATCGAAAGGTTTTGTTTTGTAGTTGTTGTGGTTTAGTGAGAAAAAATATATATATTATTACGCGACAATAAATTAAGCTTCTATACTTACACCAGAGTTTTGTCAGGCAGTTTCGGTGCAGTCAGAACTAATTCAAAACTATTGGGTCTAGCTTTCGTTCGATGCTGTGCCGAGCAACGACGTCGACATTGCTTATAATGCACAATGATAAGAAGACCCTATTTCAGTCTACTTCTATTTCTTTATTACCGGCCATGATATCGAAATCGTTGGTTGTTTGATTAATAGCCAGTTGTGTTGTGCAAAGGTATCTCTCCATAGAAAACCATCCAGGCCTGTTGTTATAACTGAACTGGGCTAGTCGTCGCTCATGTAATCAGACCCTAAAACTGACGTACCTTACATCGCACTTGATATCTGCATGGCGTAAGGAATGTTAAGTCATATCTTGCGATATAATCAAGATATTCTTCCGGTGTGTTTTCAAAGAAATAATTTTTGAATAAATCCGCCGCCATGAAATCCACGCCTCCTTGAAATGAAACCTTCCAATACTTTCCATGGGCTGAATATTTAAACTTTTTTGTTGCATCATCTATACTCCACTCTCGTTTTTCAACGTTCACTACAGTGGGTAAAAGAGCTTCTTTGAGTTTAGTATGCACTGGGGGCAGAAAGTAAGTAACATAACAAAAATGAGGTAAGGGAGGGGAAGATAATCATTATCTGATCTATGATTTATGGCTCTACTCGGCCCGATCCCAACATAAATACTTTTTTTTCTGGCTGACAATTCTGGCAGCAAAATAAATTGTGTGTCATCAGCCATCTCGCTTCATTAAATATTAAAAATTTCTAACACTTCCTTTACGTTTAGCACGATATTCGTAGTGTGTAATGATCAGAATTTAACAAACCTGGCCTTGTTGAATCGCTTAATAAAATATCTAGATTTTCAACACTTGCTCAATTAGCACGCTATTCGTAGCGTGTAATGATCAGAATTTAACCAACCCTACACTTGTTGAATACAACTCTACAAAAGATTTCAAAACTTTAAACGCACTCGTTTTCTTAGTGCTGAACTGGTTTCAAGTTATACCTTCACTTGGTCCCCGGATCACGCCCGATCCAAAATGACACCAGATCTCTCCATGGTTCTTTGCTTCCTCGCGGCCTTTCATTTTATTGAGTGTTTCTAGCATGGCTTTTTGAAGTTCCGACAGATAACTTGAGTCGCTCACAGATTGCTAAAACAAAAGAACAAATAAATAAATAAATAATGGACTTATATAGCGCCATATCCGACTGCTCTATGGCGCTTTACAATACTGAGTTAAAAAGATAATGACCACAATTGATTAAAGACAAAATGATTAAGACAAGCAATCACATAAAATCACAAAATATTTCAAAAGAAAGCTTTTCTAAAAGGGTAAGTCTTCAGACATTTCTTAAAAGCAGCCAAAAAAAAACCAGGCTGTCTCATATGAATGGGCAGAGCATTCCACAACCGTGGGGCAGCCACCGCGAAAGCTCTTTCACCATAAGACTTTTGAATAGACCTGGGGACAACCAGAAGAGACTGTTTGGATGACCTGAGACTACGACTGGGGATATACGGTGTTAGCAAATCACTAAGATAAGAAGGGGCTAAATTATTCAGAGACTTAAAAACGAACAACAAGATCTTAAAAACAATGCGATGTTCTACTGGTAACCAATGGAGCTCCGAAAGTAATGGTGAAGTATGACCAAATTTAGGACAACGCTTAACAAGACGAGCGGCACAGTTCTGTACAGACTGTAGCCTCTGAGTCTGGTATTTTGGTAGCCCGTATAAAAGGGCATTCCCATTGTCTAACCTGCAAGCTATAAAAGCACGTATAAGCGCTATTGTAGACTCCTCTGACAGATAGCTCCTAATTTTGGCTATCCTCCTTTGATGATAAAAAGCCGATTTACATATAGCACCAATATGCTTCTCAAACGTTAGACCATTGTCAAAAACTACACCCAAATTACGAGCTGATGTTGATGAATTTACTACGGAACAACAAATTTTAAGAGAAGATAACACGGGACGAGGCCGATACTGAGAACTAATAACAAGTAGCTCCGATTTGTCGCCCTTCAGCTTCAGCTTATTACAACAAATCCAGTTGAGTATCTCACGAGCACAGGCTTCAACCTGAGAAATTGCCAAAGCCTCCGCATTACGACCCCGGGAATCGAAGGACAAGTACAACTGGGTATTATCGGCATAAAAGTGATAACCCTTCAACAATATCCCCGAGTGGTGAAGTGTACAGTAAATAGAGTACGTGATCTAAAACAGACCCCTGAGGAACCCCACATACCAATGGGTGATGTGTATACCACTCCCCCCTAATACCAACAAACTGGTAACGATTGCAAAGATAGGAGGTAAACCAAGAGAGCGCAGAGCCCGTGATACCGGACCGAATAGCAAGCCTATTAAGTAAAATAGTGTGGTCCGCCGTGTCGAGCGCAGCGGACAAATCTAAAAGTAGTAAAATGACAGACTGATGATTATCTAAAGTTATCAAAATATCATTTTGGACTCTGAGAAGAGCCGTCTCAGCACTATGGAGTTGTTTGTAAGCAGATTGGAAAACTTTATCAAGGTTATTTATCGTGATATAATCAGTCAGCTGCAGAGCGATAGCTCTCTCAGTAAGCTTTGACATAAACATTAAATTAGAGATTGGTCTAAAATTAGCAAGAACCTCAAAATCTAGGCCCGTTTTTTTTTTTTCAGCAATGGATTAAGCATAGCCAACTTGAAACAGTCAGGCATCACAGCGGTGTTATAGAGAGGTTGACAATCTTGGTCATCACAGGCAAAAGCACTGACCAGCAATCCTTCAGAACAACAGCTGGAGCAGGATCGAGAGGACAAGACTTTACAGCAGAACCAGTAATCAGACTAGACACTTGAGTTGCAGTAACATTCTTGAAATGCGAGAGCACACAGCTTGCATGAGAGGAATCATCAGGATGTACCATAGTACTTGAAGAACTGTCTAGTGAATTTCGCAAGCTAGTAATCTTCTCAGTAAAAAAGTCAGCAAATTTATTAGCCAGGTCATTGTCAGAACTCGATGTAAGATAGAGAGAATCAGATTGAGTGTGTAGTAACCTATCAACTGTCTAGAACAGAACCCTCTGATCATGCTTGGAATTCTTGAAGATGTTGCCATAGAAAGAAACTTTTGCCGATTTAAGCAGACTATTGACAGCATCGCACTGTTTCACATAGTCTTCGTAATCTCCAGGTAGACGTGTTGACCGCCAGCGACGCTCAAGTGATCTTCTCTTACGTTTTTCTGAAGCGATCTCGTCAGTATATCATGGAGACGGTGGGCGAACAGTGCCGGTTTTGGTCTTAACAGGAGCATAAACATCCACAAGTTTCGATAAAGTAGTGTTGAATTGTTCAACGACTGCATTGCGGTCAGGAGAGGGATCAAGTATTAAGCTAGAATTATAAAGTTCATTGCGAAGTTTATCAAAGTCAATTGACCGAGTCTTGTGGAAGGAGATAGTTTTCCTTTCCGGAGGAGGCTTAGCTAAAGCTAAGTTACAATGGACAGCGAAGTGGTCAGAAATCCGATGTCGTACACAGCAATTGGTAATAATTCCACTTTTGCTAGCTCTTGTGATAACCTAATCGAGTGTGTGGCCAACATGATGAGTTGGCCCAGCAACATGTTGTATAAGATCGAAGGAATCGAGAACACTTAAAAAACGCCTTGCATCAAATCATTTGCTTGGTCTACACGAAAATTAAAATCTCTAACAAGTAACAGAGGTTCAGGTGTCAGGATCAGGTGCTCGAGAAGAGTTCTAAATTCGTCAAGAAACAAAGCCACACTAAGAACATTAGTAGAAGATGGAGGAGGACGATAAATAATAAGTCTCAAATTGTAATTACCACTTGATTTTAAAAGGACTTGTACAATTTCAAAACTTCTGTAATCCTCAGATTGCAATGTAGTAACTTTGAAAGACTTTCTGACCAGAAGACCGACCCCTGCGCCTTCCGAGATTGCCCTAGGAATAAGATGGAATGTAAATCCAGCAGGGCAAATATCCCAACAAAAATAAACATCGAAGTCATCATCGTGAAGCCAGGTTTCAGTAATCGCTAAAATGTCAATATTATGTTCTGTCACATAATCATTCAGCATAAGAGTCTTATTCCTAATAGATCTTGAGTTAATAAGCGCGAAATTTTACGCTGACACCGTAAAACAAACTCCGGTACGGATTGCAACGGGATGGAAATCAAATTGCTTCTGTTGACGCGCGAGTGCAGCGGAGTAGAACACGCTGGAGTAGACCGGACAGAGATTATGGTTCTAATTCTTCTCCGACCAGCTCTTCTACCCCTAAATTTCAAGATTCCAAAGTTATTCATTGCTCTCAAAGTAGACATGATTGGTTTAGTATGACATTGTGGTGTATTTGTAGAGACTGAGTAGTATTGGTTCCAGTCTCCCCCTACGTTTGTAGTGAGGTTGTCAAGCAATGCCATGTGCTCGTAAGTTGTAAATATATTGAAACCTTTTCCCTCGTTGAATATGCTTCCGACATGACGTCCGCAGGCCCAACAGAAAGCCTCGACTGTACGAAGTCCTTGAAATAGGGAAGAGAGTATGGCCATTATGCAAATTTGGTACACAACGTGGCTAGCACTAAAATTAAAAGCCAAGCGTTGATTAGGCACAGGTCCAGGATTTATAGAAATATCGACGAATATAGTCAAATCAAGCGGCAAGTCGTGCCCAGGTATAGCAAGGGACGTCAAACCCCGCTTAGAAGGCTTACTAAGCGCTCTTGTTGTCCTGTCAAAGCCGGTCGAAGAAACAAGCTTTAGTTTGGGTGCTCGAAATCGAGATGAAAACACAATGATGTGGTCCAAAATTCCCCTAAGACAATCCAAAACGTTTGTATAGCTGCATTGTTGATGTTCAAGAGAGTTCTGAACTTGTCCGCGTATAGAAAACACGCAAAAAAGTGAGAACAAAACCAGTAGAGCGAGCGGTTGAAAATTCGTGGCCGCCATGACTTAGGGACAAACGTTTTACTAGCCTGATATCAACCGAGCATTTCCATAAATAATATAGACAAGCCTGCACCCGTGCGACTCGAAACAAGATCATTACTTATCGATTTACAACATTGTGGGATTGCCACCATGATAAAACTTGTTTTTTTTTTTTCAATCTACAAATCAACTTTGACCTATATGTGAATAAAGGACAATAGAATACAATAGAGAAGAACTTGAAGATGAAACACACTTCAGGCTCTATTTAAGCAATAGAACACATTTTTTCGGGCTCTATAACATTAAAAAGCCACGCCGGATGCTGGCAGAACTCGAGGAAAGCTTATAAATCACGATCCGAAGAAGTTGATGAATTAACGAAGTACATTGATTTATCGATTAAATCCTGGATCAGGGTTAAGAGAGGTATTTTTTGTTAATAAGTCGATTATAAATACTTGGAAGAAGTCATGTAATTTATAATTAAAAATTAGGTCTTTACCTTATGCATAATGATATTGCCTAATCTATCCTATGATTTGCACTTATTTTTTATGTGTCTAGGCAACCTAACTCTTAAGGAAGATAAAGGTGCAAGAATGAAATAAATGGTTTTACCAGAGTGGATATCCACCAGAACTTTACGTGTGAATATTCCGAAACACGCATGTCATTCCTTTAAGAAAGGATATCTCAGATGTATCAGTTCAATCAATCTGAAATTTTCAGTGCTGTATCCTCTCATTGAGTCGAGTTGATGAAGAGACAGTTTCTCTCTAAGACGAATTTTAAGAAAGTTATCGAGGAATATCTCTCCCAGGAGATTTTGGCGAACTTTGAAGTGGCATTGTGCCCTTAATATTGGTGACTCCAAAACTTCTGCTCATTCAGGAGAATGAAGATTACAATTTCAACGCTCCAACACCCGGCCATAATAAGTTTACTCACTCTTTGCATCAAAAGGCATTATATTAAGCCCATTAAAGGGGCCTCATCTCGTGCCATGTAAAGTAATATTCCCCTACTTTGTCATTGATAAGTGTATTAAAGGGAACACACCTGTTGGCCTACTTCACTTGAAGGTCTCAGTCGATACTGCCCTTCCTTTTCCGAGACAGGAACCAACTTCAGTTGACAGTTTTCAGAGAGATTCCAGTCATCAATGAAGCAACATACTTTATAAAATTCGCCCATCAGTCTTGCTCTAGCCTGAAATCGATGTCTTTTTTAGTAATTTTCTACAACTTTGTAAATTAGAAAACACCACTGAAGATGACTGTCAAAACCTAACTTTTTCATTACTGTCTACAGTATGTACGAGCAAAGATTCTGATACCTAGCTAGAAAAACGTGCGTGACAAACCTAGCAGTAGGTGCCGCAATAAAGAGAAACCAGATCTTACCTTATGAAAAGCAGCGAACGCTGTTAAGGGTAATACTTTTCAACAAAATGCTCATGAGGCGACTAAAAAATGTATTCATTAGGATATTACATAACTGATATCAAATAAACAACAAACATATGAAATACATATATATGAACTGCGGTTATGAAACGTATATGTGCACGATCCTTCGCAGTAAAGCACTATTTAAGCAATAGTGAAAATCAGACCGAAAAAAATTCAGGCCTGTACGGGATTCGAACCACTGACCTCTGCGATACTAGTGCAGCGCTCTACCAATTGAGCTAACAAGCCAACTGGGAGCAGGCCATCAAATTAATTCGATGCTCCCAGTTGGCTTGTTAGCTCAATTGGTAGAGCGCTGCACTAGTATCGCAGAGGTCAGTGGTTCGAATCCCGTACAGGCCTGAATTTTTTTCGGTCTGATTTTCACTATTGCTTAAATAGTGCTTTACTGCGAAGGATCGTGCACATATATGATATCAAATACTTACAATTTTGATTCCAATGAGCTGTTTCACATGTTCTCTTTGCTTCTTTGTTGCCTTAGTAATATACAATTCCCAATCTTTCCGTGTTAGTTCGGCTCCTGTTTCGTTGGTTAACACACGAAGATTAGCTCCGTGCCTACCAAATATTAAGCCTTTATATTTGGATGGAATTTCTACCATCTCCTGTTAAAAGAAATTGATAGAAGTTGTGAGCTTCAATGCAAATAAAACTCAATTGTAATATTTAGAGGGGAGGCTTATTACATCCCGATCTACCCTTGCTCAAATTAGAAGTAACGGAGTTATTTTTTTATTAAATACAGCTGATTATATTTCATCGTAACCTTCTACCTATGTGATCAGAACGAGGTTTAAACTAGTTTAATTGAATTTATCTCTCTAATTTTTTCGTGCTCTAGTTTTCTGAGCTTTATTGTAAGTCTATTCAACTCTTCTTTGGTGAAATTTCACTAGCACTCCCATAAGGTCACGCTCTGCTTTTTAAATTTTGATCGATCGCAATGTTTGCTGTTACGTTGTATATTAGGCTTTTAGAACATGTGTCCTTCTCGAGATGAGCTTGTTAGAGTCCAGTAGAGTTCTTTCACCGTAATTTCAGGAATCTTTTGACTCCGTTTCATTAAGGCTTTGCTTTCGGCGAGAAGCGTTTCCTGTCTTAGTGACACGTCTTAAAGTTTTTCATTTTAGCCACCGGATGACGTAACAACCTTCCCCAATCCAGGTTCCAAGATGGGCGGTCGTGAACGCAAAAAATTGTTCTTGTACGGTGTAATTTTTTTTACTTTGATGATCGGGAAAACAAGGACATTTCTTATATTGAGAAAAAACATTTTACGGGTCACTGGCACTTTAGGTAGAGTCGATAAAACGTGATTTTTGTCCCATACAATGGAACTACAGAAATGTTCTTGGCAGGCAACCACTTAACTGATCAACTGCAAGAAAGGTAAGTCCAAGAAGTGTTTCCATCAAGAGATCTATGCTAAATACACACAAAAATCGATCAGCGATAATTTGGGTAGAAAGTGAACCAGTAAGAGACACTGAAGGTTTATTCAACTTCCTTCTTCCTTCGTTGATTGGAATATCATACTGCTTCCCTGAAAGGTTCTGCGTAAATTAATTAAATGATAAATGAAGAAATCATAAAATAGGAAAATAAACGCAACATCGAATATGAAAACTAATTCTATACCACAGAGGCCACCGCAAAAAGATATGTCATGATACAGCTGACAACTTAAGAATTCAAGCGAATGCGCTATCACGTAAGTTAAGTTTAGGTTGGTTTAGATAGAGAGCCACCTTTAAATTCCGAGCGGAAATCGAGGCAGTGTTTAATAGCATCTTACTTTCGTTGGGAAAGCGAACAACTTCCCTAACTTGGCGTCTGGCCGTAAGAAGTCTTAAACAGCTACCGTTCTAAAAGTAAACGCTGTGTTGATGAAAACTAACCACGCGGAATTTGAGACATTAATCAAGAGAACAAGGCCAGCTAGACCGAAGGATTTAGTTTATAGTCCATGTACTATCTACGTTTATCTTTCTATTAGTAACAAAATTATCACAGATTTCTCTTTATTATTTCAGATTTTTTAATTACGAAGAAATTTCTCAAGTTCGAGAGGTAACTCATCGAAGAGCTACCGTCGATAGTGGAATTGAATGAATTTACGATATTCCCTATTTTAAGACCTCTGGTTGTTTACTAGCGACTAGTAGATAACTAGCTTGAATCATAAACTTAAAAACTTGTCGAAAGATCAGGCGCTTCCGGTTACAATCATCGATCTATATTCACGTACTTTAAATGACAAAGAAAGTTTGACCGTCCATCGCTGGAGAAGTTTGATGATTGCATGTTGTCAAAGATTCATATCATTTAACGCATTGGAGATAGCTTTGGTGTCATACACACTTGTGCATGCATTTTCCTGTTTAAGGCTACCAGGTTTGTTCTACGTATTTAAGACGAAAGTGAAATTCTGTAACGACAGGAGGTTATCCTGCCATATCTTAAGGCTCGATTACTTTTGTATCGCGCTTAAGGCTCGATTACTTTGGTGTCTTACCATTGCCACCGCTGGTGCATGTATGTTTCCTCCACAGATCGTCTTTTAAAATGCGGCTGAAAGAGCCCGTCGGTCGATCGGTTCTCACATTAACCTTCGTACCTTAGTTTACTTGTAAAAGAGATTTGTTTGAAGCCGAGAGGATTTGAGAGAATCGAGCGCGATTCAACAAGAAATACTTCCGTCATGGCCGATGCAGTGTTCGATTAGACAAAATGATGCTTTACCATCGCAAGGCATG